TATTCACTTTTGACTTTTGTGTAAACAATAACATTATATGAAAATCGAACCAAATCCACAATCTAACACGTCAAGCATTTACTTAATTATGTAAAGTACAACTATATTAAAAATAATTTATATTTACTTAGTCTAATTTACTGATCTAAAAATCTATAATTACATGTTTTTAATAAAAGAAGGAGTATCATTATTTTTCTTCGCTCCCCTATTATTGTTTGTGTTTTTACTTACTACCTTATTTAGTTTTACTACACATTTTGATGAAAATATTATATATATATATATATATATATATATATATATATATATATATATATATCTAAAAATTTACATTTTAAAAGTGACAGTGGTTTAACGAGACTCGATTATTTTAACATTAAATGATTTTAACATAAATAATTTTTTTATAAACGAGTTTTATTATTTTAAAATACACTATCTTTTTAGAAACCATTTTTCTCGAGTTTTCTGATTTATTTTTAAGAGTTCTGATTAGGGATGGCAAAAAAATCCGCGTCCGCGGATAAAATCCGTGACGGATAGTTGGTACCCACGAATATTTATTACCCGCGGGTTGCGGGTAGCGGGTTTTTTAATATCCGCTTATAAACGGGTCAGGTGTGGGTATTATACTATCCGTACCCACGGATATCCGCTACCCGCAAAAAATAAAAATAAAAATTTAATTTATATTTTTTAAAGTTAAATTTAATTAAAATTAACATTAGTTTATATTTTATAAGTTTAAATATAATTAAAATTAAATTTATATTTATATTTATTTAATATATTATATTATATATATTTTTTGTAATTTTATTTAAGTTTTATTATAATATTTTAAAAAAATATATATTTTTTAAATATTTGCGGGTATCGGCGGGTATTTTTTAAGCGGGTATCCGTGTCGATAGCGGATCGGGTAGCGGGTGGATTTTTTTTGTCGGGTCGGGTTGCGGGTATGCACTATCCGTGTCTGACCCGACCCGTTGTCATCCCTAGTTTTGATGCTCTATTGTCTGATTGAATAAGTGAGAGAGTATGATTTAACTTACAATGAGCTCTTCAATTTGCACCATTCAGTTTTTCGTTTGAGTAAGTTGAGTTTCAACATTTTTTCTTGGTTTTTTCTATTTATTTGTTGCATTTGAGCTTTGTCTCACTTCCATGTGTCTATTAAGTCATCAATATGAGTCTCTACTGATATGTTTTTATCGTTCTTGGGATGTTTCTATGTTTAGATAGAACATCCTACTAATTGAGAGGAGTTTCGTTGGTTATGGTCTTATGAGATGATGGTCAGGTAAGAAAAGTTAATTACTTTGTTTTAAAGTTATAAATGTGATGAATATGTTAAATTGCATGTTTGGTTGATGTGAGTATATTGAATTGTTGATTTGGTGTTTCGTTACTAAAATTTGAATGTGATACCATATTTGTATATTGTTTATTTTGTCTGAATTGGTGTTAAATTGAGAAACTTAAAATTTGATCATTTGAGCAACTTGGTATGCATTCTGACATTGAAAATGTTTTTGAATCAAGCATTAAGTAGGGAGTAATAATTTGATCATTTGAACTAATCCCTTTTTCTCTAAATCATGGAATTGAATTTGTTGTTTTCTAGTATGGCGCTGAGTAGTGACCAACTAGCACTGAACGCTAACTCCTTGTGTAAATTTGATACCATTTTTAACTCTAGTATCTGAGCGTCAGGTCAGGTTTGTATTGTTGAACTCACATATTTACGAATAATTTTACGTTGATCTCACCACTTGTGGAATAATTTTATTTTAGGTCGCTGATGGAGACGTTTTGTGAGAAGTGCCACTAAGAAAGAGGTTTAAACATTTTTTATTTTCAAATTGTTTTTAAAAATTGTATTTTATTTTAAGTTATATATATATATTTCTTATATTTTATAAAAGGTATGTAAAATATTCTTTCAACAAACTATACACTACTATTTAACTAATGTATTTTCACATTAAATTATAATATAATCGTTATACCGTTTATTAAAAAATGTTTTACATGGACATAAAATATAGAAATAGATATATGATTTAATTTAAAGTCGTAAATTGAAACAAAAAATATATCTACTCTTATATATTACGTTTCATAAACAATATTATTATACATAAATTATTTTAGATTATAAAAGTTTACTTTTCCTGTTTTCCTAAAATTAAATTAGTGTGTAAAATTTGTATGTTTTAAACAGTATAAATATAGTTTAGTAATTAGTTTATTAAATTTTTATTGTGATACAAAATAATATTTAGGATGGATAATTTCTTTTAAAATTATTAAAAAATGAGGAGGAATAAAGAGAGAAGAAGGTAAGAAAAAGTTAGAAAAGAAAAAACAGTCCATATTCCGAATATGGAAGGACCTTAAAGTGTGATAGTGACCCTTTTTTCGTTATTATATATAGATCTTATAGTAGGGTTTGTCAATTTGGTGGAAGAATTTATATTTTAATCACCTCAACTTGTTTTTCGTTTGTTTTATTTGATCATTGATTGGGCTGGTCAAAATTGGAGTGAGGAGAATTGATTCCTACATTTGATTTTATATAAATTATTCTTAAAAGAAAAATAAATAAATTAACCTATGAAGTAAATAATTTGTAAAATTTATCACATATAATTTTTTATAATTTTATTTTCTAATCTATGTTTTTAAATTAATTATAACCTACAAATAAATTTATCTATTTTTTTTTTGTCTCTCAAAAATTTGTTCAGATAATTCAATGTGTAGGTGGTGCAAAGTTTTCTTACTGTGTGTAGAAGTTAAAGGAGTGTAACTTCAATTTCCCTTTATTTTATACAAAATTGATTTTTATTTTCTTTTGTGGAAGGTAGACCAATAAAGTCTTCCAGTCCACCTTAACTATAACCTAAGTGGCATAAATCCCGTTCATATTAATTTGATAACGACACCTCGATTTGACAATAATTTTTCAAATATATATGGATTATTTGTTTCCAAAACAATAGTGGGTTTTAAAATTTATTTATTTTATTTGGATAAACTAATAGCCTAATCCATAATTATGTTTAAATTGCCAGGTTTAAGAAACTCTGTTGGCAGATAGTTTAAATGTGAATAAGCTTAAGAAAAGTTTAACATGTTATCTTAAATTGGAATTGATACAGAAGTAAAGATATAAAATATGTTATCTTATTTATGTTATTGTGCAATTTTTTTATATTTGATAGATTATAACTAGTATAAAAAATTATTATAAAAAATATTTTTTCATTAGTGTAACTTATATAGAACTAATGTAGGATGTCGTTTATATGTTTTTATGACTATACATAAAATAGAAAAAATCACATACAACATCATTTTATCATTTTATATATGGATATATGGTTAACATGAAAAACAATAATTTTATAGGTCTTTTTCAATCTTTATGTCACTAATCAATCTTTCAAAGAGGCTTCATTGGAAAGACTCCAATAAGGATCGGAAAAATAAATGCAAACATTTGTCACGTGAAGAAGTTCTTCAATATAAGAACCAATGGCATAACGAGAATAAAAATTTGCAAGTGTGAACACAAAACTAATGGTTAACTACCTTAATGATTACACTTAATCATGACAGTAATCCTTATGATTAAATAGAGTTAATTAACTAATACTATGTTAATCATATATGAAATGTCCAATTAGTTAGGAAGATATGTGAAATACTTACAATCTTTATATACACTTCAAAGTGACAACAACTGAAAAAAAAAGTTACAATCATCCCATGCACCTGAAAGTGATAACAAAAATATTACGTGTAGAAAAAATTATAGCCATCATATATGCTTGAAAATGACATGGGAAAGAAATTACAACTCCTAATAGTATCTTTCCAACCTTTTTACATCCAACCTTTGAGATTATAAGAGATTATTAATAGTCTAAATTACAAATAATATTACTTTTTAATTTATTCTTCATATTGAGTATTTTTTTTAATTTTCCTTTAAATTTATTTATTTCTTTAAATTATTTTTATTTATTTCTTCTTTTAAATTCAATCACTCTCACACACATACATTATTATTCATGTAACTTCCTTACTATTCAAATCCTTCCCTAAATAAGTTAACAAGTGTTTAAAGGTTTTTTTAACTGTCTTTTCTGACTTTATTGAAATGTGTGGAAGATAAGTAAATGTGGAAAATTAATCCTATAAAATATCATTTAGTGAAATTTGTTTATTATTTTTTTTATTTCAGAGGTACATATAAGAAACAGAGAATGACTAATCTCAATAAAAATATAAGAGTGTTATGGTTGTTCTAAGAAGGAAGGAACTCAAAAAATAACCAAAAAAAGAGAGGAGAGAATTCACAAAACAGAATGGAATTCTTTATTGATTGGATTAAAATGTATAAAGAAAATTTTCTTACAAAAATAAACGAATGTATTTTATATATATATAGTTATATAAATATAAATATATAACAATTAATGGCTCGGGACTTGCCTGCCACTTCTAAGGCTAGTATATTAGTCTAGATATATGATCTGCATATAAGAGGTTGTCTCGGATTTTAAACGATAGTATCCCATTTAAATAAAATTTTATTTGAAGGAACATAATTCCTTCTTTGGTATCTTATGGGAAATTTCTCATAATTTCGAAGAAACTACAAGTCCCATTTTTTTAAAATGACTTTGTAATTATGGAGATTTAGCTTAGGATGGTTGGTGCATGAATTTGAGGTAACACTTCTTTCAGGATCTCTCATTCTGTTGCTAACTTTGAATCTTTAATTGCTCTCCCATTCTATTAGTTGATGTATTGTGAATATTTCTTTACAAATTTTGGAACAATTTTTGTAAACGCATACCAACTGGTCGAAGAAATATCGAACTGTTTTATGATAATGATTGTTATTAGTTTTTTTTTTCATCAATAAGTGTTCTCACTAGAATCACTCTGATAAGGCCATCTGATTTGAGAAAAATAGTGTGCTATTGAGTAATCTATAGATAATTTAAGAGGATGAACAAGAAATGAAGACAGTTCATTTACAATGTAGTTCCATAGTTTGCATGTTTCTTTGACTAATGAATATAACCAATTCTCCCTATAAATACACAAAGGAAGTTGCCAAATGGTTTGAAAGAGCAATCAAATTTCTCATTTGGTAGTGTAATTTTACAATGTGCTAGATCCGAGAGGGTCGCATTCAGGTTACTTCAAATGCCCCCAGCTCATCTACACAATGGTTGATACTGGAATCACACAGAAGGCAATGTTAATTGCCTACAGAAAGTTAGCCCTGATGCCAATGAAAGAGATTTGCCCTAGGAAATCCATGCTGGGCAAATTCAAATGGTTTTAAAAATAAAGTCTTCTCATATCCTTAACCAACTTGTCACAAATGGCATCATTTTGAGCCAAAAACAGTTCAGCCGCTTCTCTACTATCAAAAATCCCCCCCTCAATAATGTAGCTTCCCTCATCTTTCACAATGATTCCATGTTCACAGGCCAAATCTAAGACCTCTGACTCATGGCAAAAGCCTCTTCCAAACTTGATACCCAGTTCTGCCCTTTTAGTTGCTGCTGGTGCTAGTTTATTTTTCACCACTTGCGCACAGATCAGAACACCCTCTACCTGAAGCACCAGATATCAAAATAGAAGAATGAAAACAAGACAAGAGAGGGTTTTGGGAAAGAATGTGATAAATTGGGCAACTTTCCATGTTACTAAATAGAAAAAACATACAAAAGTCATGTGCTGAAGGTGGTAGGAGTGGGAATGAGAAGTCTTCCTCAAAAGAATAACACAAACTACCGAGTTGGTCATATTTTGAACAGTATTTAAGAACTAACCTTATCCTCATTTTTGATCAATCTTATTCTTGAAAGTCTCATACGAACGGCTGCATAGAATCTCAAAGCATTTCCACCACAAGTGACTTCTTCCACAGATCCATGTTCCTTGACGGATTTTGAACTCAATCTAATCTGTAAATGAAGATAATGCTGAATGATATATCTGATGGTTTGGTATATCTTACAAATTGACTTTTCAAACTACAAGGCGCAAAAACGTTCAAGTGAATAAGGCTTCAACCTGATTAATGAAAATAATGAGAGTTTGAGAGTGAGATAATGAATAGTGAATTTTCCGCAGTGCTTGAGTCATCATTCGTGATTGATAATCTCGTTTAGGACTAACTCCTAATTGATCAAGTTCGCATTTGGGGATGAGGGCAGC